ACTTGCTGCTGAACTAAATCATGTTTATACAAAGTCACACAAAAGAAATTTTAGTTCAGGAGCATGAGAGAACACAGAGACCTGTTGCCTATTTTTCTAAATTGTTAGACCCAGTAGCCAGAATCTAGCCCCATTGTCTGCAGAACTGTGCAGCCACAGCTCTGATGGTGGCTGAGGCCTGAAAACTGACAAGGGGGGATTATCTGATTGTTAAAGTTTCACACCAGATTAAAGCGTTGTTAACTGAGAGAGCCTCTAAGTGGATGACCAGCTCTCAGTTGCTAAGATATGAATCTTGTCTATTAGAACAAGAAAATTTAGAATTTAAAAGCAAGGAAAGTTTTAACCCAGCCTCCTGTTTGAATGGCCCTGAAGAAGGGAGCCAAGGAAAATTCCATGATTGTATTCAAGTAATAGATCTACAAACTAGGGCAAGGAATGATCTGAGAGACATCCCGTGGCCTGGGAGGGAAAACGTGTTTATTGATGGGTCTTCAAAGGTGACAGAAGGAAGAAGATTTACAGGATACTCTGTCATGAATGGAAAGCAATTAAAGGAAAGGGGGAGGTTACCAGCCACCTGGTCAGCTCAGACGGCCGAGCTTTATGCCCTTGTGAGAGCTTGTGAGTTATACCAAGACAAGACAGTAAATATTTTTACTGATTCTAAATATGCATATGGTGTGATACACGCATTTGAGAAACTGTGAGAAGAGAGAGGTTTATTAACGTGCAGAGGAAAAACGTTGGCTCATGAGAACTTAATCTCCCGCCTATTGGAGGTGGTGAATTTACCAAAAAAAAAAAAGGTAGCAATAATACACATCAAGGGACACCAGGCAGGGAGCTCAGAGGAGGCAGTAGGAAATAGACTGGCTGATGGAGAAGCTCGGAAAGCTGCATTGTTGCCAGAAATCTCTAAGTTACTTCCCTTGCTCCCAGTAACTGCCCCCTTGCCAGAGAAGCTGTCTTTTCCGCCAGAACTTGACATAGTTAAAAAGAGTGGGGCAGAAGAAAGAGGGGGTAATTGGTTTACAAGAGATGGTAAGCAGTGGATACCAAAAGCTTTGGCCTCCCAACTGCTAAAACAGCTCCACGAAGGGAGTCACTGGGGCTCCCGAGGGATAGCAGAAGCCTTCCTCAAAATGTATGCTGCTGTGGGTCTTTTTGTTCTGGCAAAACGAGCTGTTGATGGTTGTTTGATTTGTGCTAAGACAAATAACAAAGTTACAAAGAAACTGGCCAGGGGCGGGAGGCCTTGGGCTGTACGTCCCTTCCAGAGATACCAAGTAGATTTTACTGAGATGCCCCGGGTGAAGAGATTTTTTGGTAATAGTATGTCTGTTGTGAGTAGCCAGAAGTGTTCCCAGGTGTTTCTGCAACTACAGGGTCAATTATTAAAGTATTTTTTTTAAAAACAAGATCAGGTCGAGTTGAAAAAAAAAATGAATGGAAAAATAAAGAAGCATCTTCTAAAGCTGGTGATAGAAACTGATATGCCATGGGTGTGGCTCTTGGCACTAGCTTTAGCAAGAGTAAGGGCCAGACCGAGGAGAAATATTCAACTATCTCCCTTTGAACTGAAGTTTAGAATTCCTTATCCTTATAATTCTCGGCCTGAGTCAGGAGCAGAGTTAAGTGATGTATATTTAGAACAATTTGTGGCCTGGATACTGTCTCTTGTGAAATTTATTCGACAGGAAACTCTGCTGGCACAGACCCTGCCTTTGGACAAGTGAAAACCAAGAGTCTGAGTCCTAGTTAAAGAGTGAAAAGAAGCACCACTGGTGGCTAAGTGGCGTGGACCTTTCCAGCTGTTGCTGACCACAGAAACAGCCGTCAAGAGAGCTGAACACGGGTGGACACATCACACTCGAGTCAAGGTCGCTAAAGCTCCAGAGGTTTGGACATCTCAGCTGGAGGAGAAGGATGGGAAGCCGCGACTGACACTCCGCAGGAGTGGACTGGAGCAGTAGCTGGTGCGTCGACATCAGGGGAAGCCCTGAGTGCCTACCCACAGACTGCCTGCTGAAATAGTCTGGGCATCCCTACTCTCAGATCTCCAGCCACTGGAGGCCAATATTTGCTGTCATTGCTTTCTTTATGCTAAGCTGTTTCTGTGCTTTCACTTGCCACAGGTGGTGTAGAAAACAACGTGAAATTGAAAATTAGAAATTAGATTATAACACTATTAGAATGTTTCTCTTAATAATTTTACCTTTATATTTTCAGTTAAGTTGGGGTCTAAAGTGAGAAAATAATTTTTTTAATTTAAGAGAACAAGTAGCAAAGACCTTTAACCTTAGAAACTGTTGAGTCTGCGGAGGGCCAGGAGGATCTGAAAGCTGGCCATGGGTGGCCAGCCCAGTCGAGCCTAAATGGTGGGTTAGCACCCTGAGTGAAGTCCATAATGGAACTGGATTTTGAGACAAAGAAGGAAGTCCGTGGCAGCTTTATTCTTCTGAAAGAGGCATTTATTGCTTAAACAGAACAGGAAGCACATATGTGGGAAAGAGCGTTTGTGACTAGACTTTATCAAGTTTAAATTGTTGGGCCCCCAACTGCCCTCCTTATGACTGTTCCAGATATAGAGGCAGATGGAATCAAACGCATGTTAAGCTCACTAATGGTAGCTGGGTAAAGTGTTCCTTCCATAATTACCAAAAAGATTTTGAAGGCTGTAAAGCAGTGGGGAAGGATAAGTTTTTTGACCCTTTATTTTTAAGCTGCCCCTGGGATAATTCCACAAGTCAGACACGTGTTGTCCGAGACTATCAGTGGAAATGGCAACACCGAAATGGAACTAGAACCCTTTTTAACAGGTTCTGGTCCAGATCTAATAAAACAGATCTGAGATGTGATTGCAAGTGGAAACCTCATGTAAGAGCTTGGAAATGTAAATATTGTGATTCTTATAGCGAGGCAACTATTGTGGGTGGACCCCTAGGCCCTGGCAGCAAGCTGTATTTTGACCCACCAGTTGATGATAAAAATGGGAAAGGTCCCTTTGCTAATGGGACCTGGGCTCTAAAGGGGCATTACTGGATTTGTGGCCAAAATGCTTACTGCAGGCTACCTCCAAACTGGTCAAGAATATGTTATGTGGGGTATATTAGACCATTGTTCTTTCTGCTACCACAAGTTCAAGGAAATCAGTTAAGAATCAAAGTATATGATGATCTAATTAGAGAGAAGCGGTCCATTGATACATCCCTGGTTGGAAGGAGCACCCAAAAGTGGGGAAAAGATGAATGGCCACCTGAACGAATCATACAACACTATGGACCAGCTACCTGGAACCCAAATGAATTAATATCAGGTGCCAGAGAACCCATTTATAATCTAAATCAGATAATTAGGTTGCAAGCTGTCTTTGAAATAATAATCAACTAGACAGCTACAGCTCTTGACCTTCTTGCTGACTAGTCTACTCAGATGAGAAATGCAATATTTCAACATCGAACGGTATTAGACTATTTATTAGCAGAAGAAGGGGGGGTGTGTGGAAAATTGAATGACTCAAACTGCTGTTTGCAAATAGATGACAATATAAAAGTGGTAAAACAAATAACAAAAAGAATAAGAAAGTTAGCCCATGTACCGGTCCAAACATGGAAAGATGGGAATGGGACATGTTTTCATGGTTACCTGGTGGCCTATGGGTCAAACAAATGCTTTTTTTCCTCTTATGTGTTGTAGCAAGTCTAATTTTTTTACCATGCATGATCCCTTGCTTAATACAACTCATTCAACATGTGATCAAAAGAATGCAGGTAGTAGCCGTGCCTACTGATCCAGAGATAACTACAAAAGGGCAGAAAGTAATGCCACTGCAAATAATTGCAAAGCCAAAAAAGACCCAAGAACAAAAAATTAGATCAGTGATAACTAAGGTTTGTAAAGACAATTATTAACAAAAATTAAAAGAGGAGGGATTGAGAGGAATGATGAGTTTGTCTTTACAAACAAGCTGTGGGTCAGTTGATAAGATGTAGCTATCAGTGAGAGACGACAGAAACAATGAGATGGATTCCAGTAGAAGATCAAAGAGGCACTGAAAGAACACTATGAATTCCAAAAAGTTAAGAAGGGATTATGCATTGAGGGTGGGGGGGGAAGGTACCCCAGGTATCAAGCGTTCCGGGAAGCCTGTACCTCTCAAGTACCTCAGCCTATGGGGAAAGGGAGAAGGGACAAGCGGCCGGGAATTAGGATAAAAAGGAGGCTGCGCCCTCCAAAAATTTGAGAGACCCCAGGGGAATGCCCCATGGCCTCTCCCTTTATTCGAATAAAGAAAAAGGACTCCTCTGTCTCCTTTTTGGACATAAACCTCTGGTGTTCGTGGATTAATTTTCCTGACACTGAGTACAGGACAAACTCACGCAGGGGGATCTGACTTCAGTCCCACAGGGTGCTGACTAAATGGCATCTGAGCCACCCCCAAACTCATCAGACATCTTTCACTTGCCAAAGGGAGGAAACAAGGTTATGTGTAACAGAGCCAGAGAATTCACTGCCACCACCTCATTGCAGGGGTGGCTTTAGTGACACTGAGCCTCTCCCCACCCAGGAGGGCAGATCCACACCCTGTTCTATGGGCAAAGCTGAACATCATGGGTAATACCAAAATTCAAATAAGAAATCCATCAAGACACTTCACAGTGATTACAGGGGAGATAACTTAAAGCACTCAATTGTACATCTTTCTCCCTTAGCCAGGACAGAGGGAAGACGCTGACAGTAAAAAGGGACAGGAGGAAGGGAAGCATTGGGTATCTCAAGGCTCATGTTGCTAGGTGGAGGAAGTTCCTGGCTCAAGGATTTTTTGAACAGAGATGGTGGGCATACATGCCCTGGTGTCAAAGGTTCAAAGCTCAGAACTATTAATTCCTACACTGCTTGCTTTTCAGAAGTGAAGTTCAAAAAGTGCAGCCAACAATCCCTGTTGCAGTAGTGAAGATGTACTTGAGGAAACTGCAAAGGAAGAAAGCTGATAGTACCTTAACAACAGCTACGGTGGTCTGGTTAATGCCAAACAACTCTTGTGAAATCACTTCAATCATTGATGATCCGGTCACAGACCCAGAGACAAGGAATCCTCTCTCATCGATTTCCACAACAGGGACTTTGTCTGGTCCATCCAAGACACGGTAACTCAGGGAGGCCACTTGGTCCCTGAAGAAAAACAAGAAGTAGGGAACGTCTTAAATGTCTGAAACCATATTTAGTGTTTCTTCCAACATAAACCATTCTGTGCTTCTATGAAACTAAGGGTTCCCTCCTCCTAAAATGTAAATGCCTCTAAAGCTTTGCCCTCAGTGTGTGTCCTACTGTCTATCTGCCCATTATTATGCTGGGAAAATGACGAAGCCTGATATGAGTCTAAAATGTCAGTCTTTGAAAACAGATTATGTAAAAAGAATTTCTCATTGGGAAATGACATTTTAATCTGAAAATTCAGTCATAACCTCTGTGTGAGGAATACACAGAATTATATTCCACAAAGCCTCAATCACCCATCAAAACCTCTACAGGAAGCAGGCAGCAGGATACTGCTTTAACTGGCTTAACAGCTTTTAAAAAATGGGATCTCAAAGTTCCCAATATTGAATGAATTTTCCAGCTACAATCTAATACAAGATTGGACAAAGCCTGAGAAAACAGATAAGACACTATGAACCCCCAGATAAGCTGAGTAGTAAATGGTTGTATGGTGATACTGAGAGACTGAAACAACTCCCTTAAACACAACTGCCCTACAACAGTTTGGATAAAGGGGTGAGACAAGCCACAGTACGGAAACTGAACACTGACCTGTTGGTCTGAAGTTTCATAAAGGAATTTGGTGACATTAAGATCTGCCCTCTTTCTGCCTCTGGGGTGATTAGATGAAGTTTTTCAAACACCTGGAAAGTAAGAGGTAGCTTGGCCTACTGTTGTGTGCAGACAGTAATTTACTTCATTTACTTAATCTTCACAACAAACAAACAAAACCAGACAGAAGTGTAACTTTCTTTCTTCTCTTGTATAATATATATGGTAAAACAAGACAACTGAATGTAAATATTTGAGAATGGAAGAGTCAGTATCATCTGCAAGATATTCTGAAGAGCATTTATTTCCAGGGCTATGGCTAAACTAGGAAGCAGCATGAAAACAGAAGATTTCTCAAGGGAAAGGTGTTGGGAACCCCATATTCACCTGAGTTACTTTAAACTCCCCCTGCCCCCATGAGCCCATGAACTGAATGAGCCCAAACACTATATAAACAAGAGTAAGGCCTCAAAGATAAAACAAAGCTCGAGCTACTCCTGCATTTCAAATTCCTGACTTCAAATATAGACTTCAATCCAGTTCTGACAGATACTTAAACATGTGAAGAAAATCATCCCACCTGAATTTGGATTTCATCAGACAATTCTCTTGCCATGTTGTAGAACTGGTTAGCTGCAGCATCAAGGACCTTCACCACAACTTTCAGGCCTGTCCTTCCCTTTACTCTGCCATAAACATCCACTGCAAAGTTGTAGTTTGCAGGAAGCTGAAAATCAGCCTTGGACAGGAGAAAGGGGTTAAAGTTTGATTCATGGAAAGCCCAGACATTGGCACAGAGGTGCTGACAACTGATCCTGGATTTTGAGGCAGTGGAGGCAGCAATATTCCCTGCATTGCCCTGCTGTGGCCATTCCTTTTCCCAAGCTGCGCACACATGCACACACGCGCACACACACACACACACAGTGCACACACACACACACACACACACAGTGCACACACACACACAGACACACACACACAGACACACACACAGACACACACACACACACACAGTGCACACACAGACACACACACACACAGTGCACACACACAGAGACACATGAACACAGACACACACACACACACACACACACACACAGTGCACCAAAGAGAGGTACACACACACACAAAGACAGGCGTGCACACACACACGCAAACCAAGACAGGCACACGCGCACACCCACACAAAGACACACACACACAGACAGGCACACACACAAAGACAGGCACACACACACACACGCAAACAAAGACAGGCACACGCGCACACACACACACAAAGACACACACACACAGACAGGCACACACACAAAGACAGGCACACACACACGCAAACAAAGACAGGCACACGCGCACACACACACACAAAGAGAGGTACACACAGACAGGCACACACACACACAAAGACACACACAAAGACACACACACACACACACAAAGACACACACACAAAGACAGGCACACACACACACACACACACACAAAGACACACACACACACACACACAAAGACACACACACACAGACAGGCACACACACACACACGCGTGCGTGCATTACCTCACTGAGCCTTGTCCTGACATCCAGGGTGTCCCTCTTGGTGACAGACCAGTGGAATGTTAACCCTGGCACAGCATTGCCAAAGGAGAAAGGAGTCTGAGTGCTGGTGATGCCCGTGACATAAACTGGCATCTGGAAAGAGAAAAACCAGCCTGCTTAGCTAATGCCAATATGCAATCCAAACACCTGCACACAGCAAAGAGAATTAAAATTCACTGATCAAGAGATGGGGTCTCTCATGAAGAAAATAGTTCCTCCCAGAGCTGCTGTGCTGTCATCAGATGACATGACAGGAATGGGCACAACCTGAAGTTCCAAAATGTGAAAGTGACAGAAGCCAATCCCAAACAATTCACCTGAGTACCAGCTTTCATTCGTGTAATGGGTGCCCGAATTCTCACAGCTGTCAGCTGCACCACCTCAACTTCCACCTGGTCCTGGGAAGGAGGAAGAGAAGATACTGTAAGCACTTGTCAAACAGAAAGCAGATTTCACTTTCAGGCTCTCTAGCCACTATTTTGCCATTATCTAATCATTGTTGCTGTGTGATTTGCATGACTTGTCAGAGAAAATACAGATACACAAATTCAGCACAACTGTAAAAAACTAAAAAGGATTAAGCTTTGATTAATAGGCATTTAAAAATGCACCTTAAGTTGAAAAAATAAATCTGCTCAAAATTACTGATCACATGAGTGATGGAGCTGAGAGGTGATAGACAGCAGTGGACAAGATTACAGGAGGCCTCAGCAGAAGAGGGATGAAGAAACCCAGGAGGTGAAGGAAGATATGGAGACGAGGTAGAATGAAATGAAGATTGTAGAGCACCAAACAGGACAAATGAGAATAAAAGGATGATGTGTGACTCCGATATCTCCTCTTCATATACCCAGATATTCCTGATAGATTTTATTCCTGCTATATACTGGGGTCAGAAAGGTCAGACCTGGACCTCACTGGGCTACAGATTTAACTTTCAAGTTCACTTTGCCTCCTGTCACACCCTTAGGGCAGGCTGCTGCCCAGGCATTAAAAAACATATTTTTTGATATTTTGTTTTTTTAAAATATTACTTTGTGTCCTCTTAGATGAGCTGACACCTTTCAAGCAGCAGAGCTTTGTGGTTCACAGCAGCTGTGCTGCCCTGAGCTCAAAGGAAGAAGTCATAAGATCTGGCCCAAGTTCTGTTGCTCTGAGTCTCATTAAGGAACTTGTGCTTGCTCCCTTGTCGGCCTGCTCACCTCCCTCACACTGAGCTGCAGAAAAATCTAAGGACACAGATTCTGATGGAATATCAGGGATTCACTACTTGCACCTGTCGCCCTGAAAACTCAGCTTCTGAGCTTGCTGACATGGTTTTCTAAAGACTTTCCCAGGACAGTAACTGTAAACATAGATATGTGTACATTCTTTCTGTTACACATCTTGTGATGGACATCTCTCATGGCCAGTGCAGTGGGAAAGTGTTATCCTGACCATCCAATCCCTGGCCGTGGTCAGAAACCTATAAATCCTGGGAGGAAAAATAAACTTTCTCTTCCTTTCACCACACCTCGACCTGTATCCGTGTGATGTATTCATCTTCAGCGGCAACATGCACCTCCACAGATGGGTTCAGACCACAACAAGGGATGATTGTGCTCTCTGCAGACTGCTGCAGCTTAGGAGAGAAACAATGTGGGGTTTTTTTGAACAACCGCTGCCTTCTGGATCCTCCTGACCTAAGAGGGAATGCAGACAAGGACAACCTTCTGCTTTGCTGGAAAAACTTCTTTAGATGGGCTTTTCTAGGTGTACTAACCGATCCTGAAGAAACCAGACTAGTCATAAAGCTGCTCTGATTATCTGGGTGAGTGTGGTTTAAGGCACAGCAAGATTCATCTACCTTTTCAAAGTACCACCTGTGCCAATACCTGTGTAAGTAAGTTTGCAGGCCAGGGAATAAGGAACTCTTGAGTTTTCATCTTTGGGAAACCAGAGAAGTGCACAAGGTAAAACTGCTCATGCAGAAAGACTCTGTGCCCCCTTCCAGAGCCAAAGCCATGAGTCAGAGAGCCCCTGACAGCCCCCAACAGCACCACAAGCATTACCTGGGACACTGCCACAAAATTCTCTGTCTCTGCATCAACAGCCTGCAGCACTCCTGTCACCACCCCGCTGCCAATGGCCACTCCTGTGACCAGCCCAGAGCTGTTCACTGATGCAATGTGCCCGTTGTCAATAGAGAAAATGATGTTGGAGAGAGGCTGGGGGCCTCCTTCAGCAGTGATCTGTCAGAACAGCACACAGAACAGTTAATGAACCCTTCAGATTGTTCTTCTGGTCACCGTTACAGGGAACACCCTCCCTGCTCAGCAACACAATGACTTCAGTGCTACCTGCACCTTCCCAGGGGCAGCTCAAGGACTGCACACTGGTCTTTGCAGGATGTCAGCATGGGAAATTCATAAGCTGAGTAAAGAAGTGGACCCTGTCCCTCACAGAGTATCACAGGCTGATGTTACCTCCACTCCTGGAAGTTTCAGAAAACTTTACCTCCCTTTCTCCTCAGCACCCTGGTGTAGAGCTCTGCTCTGTGTTTCAGTGTATACAACATGCCTACTATCCCAAATTTCATGGAGCCAACAGATTTACTCATGCTGTGCTGGGATTTAACACCAAAAAAGATGACACTCCGTTGACAAAAGCAAATACAAATCCTTTGATCCAGCAATACAGCAAAACAGAAGTTGGCTCAGGAATAATGCTGTTCTTGTTCAGAGGAGTATTCATCACAGAAACATGGGTTGGGCTGGAAGGGACCTCAAAACTCATATTGTTCCCTAGGCAGGGACCACCTTCCACTACCCTACGTTGCTCCAAGCACTGTCCAGCCTGGCCTTGGACACTTCCAGGAATCCAAGGGCAGCCACAAATCTGTGCCAGGGCCTCCCCACACTCTCAGGGAACAGTCCCTTCCCCACATCTCCTCTGACCTTGCCCTGTGCTGGGTTTGAAGCTATGCCTTGTGCCCTGTCACTCCAGACCCTTGCCCAAAGTCCCTCACTGTGGGGGCTGCTGAGACAGCTGGAGGGAGAGCCCATACATAACCTTTCACTTACCCGGCTCCCTTTCAGGGGAAGGCCTCAGTTGAGAATCCTGTTGTTATGGTTACTTGCTTTATTGCCCCCAGCATGCCTTTCCCTCATATGTATATCAGTTGTATCCCACTGGCCCTTCCCCCTTGCTCCGCCTCTGAGCCCTCAGACCATTTGCCTTGTTGCTCTACCCAGCCCCTTGCCTTCCCTATACAAACCCCTGCTCCCCAGACCCCTCCGGAGAAGCAGCAGAATAAAAGCTGCCTGTGGAGCTCAGTACAGGGACTCCAGCTCTTCCTTCTGAGTCGCCCAAGGAGCAGCTGCAATTCCAACAGCTCTTCTAAGGGCTATTGCTGAATCCCAGGGGCAAGGCAGGCGTGCCTGGGCACTCAAGAGCTGTCCCAAAGGAGACACTTCCTGGGAAGGTTGCGGCACCCTGACCACCATCGCTTGCCGCATGACCTCTCTAACAATCCTGTTAGTCCATTCAGTGTGAATACAGATGTGATAAATGTAACTTTGGAAAAAATTCGTGAAAGAAGGAATAAGTATATAACTGTATTTATAACAATGTAAACCACATATAGTGTGGCCTAAAGATTCCTCCCCAGACCCAGCAGTAACTACCTATTCAGGTGACCCTAGGCTACGCTTATCAGCCTGAGAGGAAGAGCAGAACAAGGGCCATCAGGCTAGACAATGAGGAGAGCCCAGCCGAGATGCCCCAACGGCTCCACACTGAATCAGGATACCACACCCTATAAGCCACAACCGAAAAAGCAATCTAACTAAACAATGAGAGGAGCCCAGCCGACTTGGTCACTTCTCCCGGAGAGCCCAACTAAAGATACAATCAGGAGGCAATCAGAACTTTTCACATGCAAAAAGACTGCCCAGTCGTCTATTGATTCAGTTCGATGGTTCCAGGAAATCCATTCAACCAACCATCTAGGCTCTTTGTGGAACAGTGACTGCTCGGAGTTTAGCCCCAGGACACAAAATCCCTATAAAAACCCTGGACATTCTACCCTCCGTGTGGATTTGGGTAAATCTGTACCTCTGGGTATAGACCCCTGTCCACCCAGCGCTGTGCTGATTTATTTTATTGTGGTTTTTTTCTCCTGTTTGTGATTGAAATTGTTTTATAATAAATCGCTGTTTATATTAACCCTATTTTGCCATTGCATTTATAACACAGATAAATGTCAAGTTGAGCATCTACTCCTGAAAATCTAGTTATGAATATTCCTTTTGCAACAGCAATTACAAAATAAAAAATATGTAAGAAGATGCCTCACCTGAATCATCGCCCCAATAATTAGGGTCACTTTCCTTGGCAGTAGTCTAAATGGGGAAAAGACCTAAACACAGAAATATGAATACCTGTGTTAAGGTCCTTCAATCAGATAAATTATGCTACAAAACAGTACAAGTGTAAAACTGATTCTTTAGATGTTTAATCACAGTAAATCGAGCATGCAGAAATTTAACTTATCATATGCAGTTAAACAGCACTGAAATCTGACTGGCATTAGGTCAGCTTCCTATTTCAGAATTCAGAATGCATTTTCTGGCAAATTGATTACTATACTGTAACCATAATCTATATATTCCTGTTCCATTGTAGCACAGGCTTTATTTATGCATATATCTTATCTAAAATTATTTACTTCAATCTGCTGTGGAGCAGAGTTGATTCTCTGTCCTCTTCTGTCAGCCACAGTTGCCATCAGACTCGTCTGCCCAACAGTCATCCCACGCACCAGGAAAGCAGCAGTGTGGTCATCCAGAGCCTCCCTCAGGGGGCTGCAAAGAAATCCATTCAAGAGAGACATTCTCTGAGTAAATAACAAATAACAAAGCAAAGGACTCATTTAGTGCCCATTTAGTAGTTATACCACAAGGCTAAGTGACTCTGTGTGAAGCAAAGTTTTAAGAGAATTATCACATTTTCACACATGATGGCTCTCTGCAACCTGTGCTTTAGCCTAACATTAAATACCTGAAATGAAAATGAAACAAGTGACAGACACAATGAGTTTGATAACATCAGGTATGTCTTCACACAGCACTCTTCACCTGACACTATTTGCCAAGTCACTGCTACCAACAGGCACAAAGCTTCATCAGTCATCATACTCGGAGAATGTAGTCTCATTCATCAGCCAGCAACAATCAGGCTGTTAGTTCAGTCAATTTCCCTCACAAATAATAAATAACTGTTTACCTTTTAATAGGTAAAGACTGTTAAATTAACTGTTAATTAAGACTTCACAAAAATTAAATAAATAAAATCTCAGCCATTGTATATTACCATGCCTCCAACCTAATACCTTTATTCACTTTTACTAATTCTTATTTGCAGATTAATTTCAAAAATCCATTAACTTACACAAGGGAGACAAGCTGAGACGCTGATCTTAGACTGAGATGCATGACAGGGAAGTATTTTGCCAGAAAAGGTTTCTTTGAGTCATCCAGAACTCTGACATAAGCCTTAACTGTTTTTCCAATCTCCACCTGAAACAGACACATCCAGTCATTCTGCATTCAAATCACTCTTACTTATTAGCATAAACATTTTCATTTTATTTTTTATTACACTTGTGGTAGGGTAGTGGAAAGAGAGAGCCCCAAGGTTAGGTTAACACTGATTTTAAAGACTAATCCCTGCCAGCCAGAGTTAGTGTCAGATGAAATGAATCAACTCAGGTCCTTCAGCTGGCAAGGGCATAATTAAAACACCCAGAAATATCAACACCTCTTTTGTCTAAGGCACACTCAAGCTGGCAAGTGGCATGAGCTGGACTTCTTTCTGCTCAGTTTTAAAACCTGACATATGGAAAATGACCTTGGGGCAAAACCTAAAAGAATTCCTCACATGCACTTTAAACAGGAGGAAATGTAAATGAGCATGTCCATATAAATTATGGATTAACATTGCTGTGTAAATGCAAAAGTTGAGACTGCTGCAACACAGAACATGAACAGAAACCTGATACTCTGAGACACTTATAACCTAAAGGGATAAATTTGGGAGGGCAAAACAGAGACACAGGGAGGTTGTAGCTTTTTCTCTGTTGTAGCATCTTGTCCATGTCTCTTCTCTATGTTCAGGACCTGCACAGGGAGTCAGGGCAAGCTGGACCAGCTTCTAATGCTGCTTCCAAGGCACTGACCTTGTCAACAACTCGCACATACAGTTCCTGGATATCAGATACATGAATTTTAGCTTCAGCTGGGGCAGGGAAAGCTAGACACAGGTCATGAATCATTACAGTCACTGATCCTGGGAGCAGAGGCTGCACCTGCAATGCCAAAAGAAAACTGCATTATAGCACTTATTTTGTCTGTTGTTCACAGGATAAAATTGGTATCACTTTCAGGGCAGAAGCAGCTGGATGCAGAAATCTCCAAGCTTATACACAGAGAATTCCTCCACCAAAATAAAAATCAACCTGTAAAATGTATGTAAAAAGTATCATGCTACTGAGCTAGTGCAAACAGCCCCCAGGCACCAAGTGAATTTACAGCTCTTCATCTCGAATAGTCTGGCATGCTGCTATTCATCTGCCATCAGGAAAAAAAACCACACAAACCATTTAGAGCAACAAAACTTTTCTTAGTAGAGTGAAAACCAAAGTGATAAGGGGAAAAAAAGTAGAGGACAAAGATTATGCCTATAAAGCATTGGTATTGCTTCCTGTAAGATTTGTACTCTACTGTTACTGCTTTTCATCTGAGCAGCCAAAACCTGGTAGATCGTGGCAAATAAGAGGACGGCTGACAGATCAGGTGTTTCTTTAATACAAGTACTAGTCCTACTTAAGTACTACTTAATTTTAAAGAAAGATAATGTTATACTTCTTAATGGGTAAAGAGAATAAAATAATGAAGAAAGAGACCTCTGGTCACAAACACGAGAGCCCTCAGAACTAGGTACCCATCCCAAAGTCCCCTCTCCGAAGGCCATGCACCCATACCTTGGTCCCATCAGCTCTGCAGTTATCCTGCAACTCCCTGACTTTGCCACAGACCTCAGGAAAATCCCAGCTGTTCTCCTCCCTTTGACCGGGGACAGCAGTGAAGTTTGGTGTCCTGTTCTGTGCTCTGAACTCTGAACAGGGGGAGATGGCCAGGCCCCCCAGTGCAAAGGAGTTCAGTGAACTCGGCATTGTCTGGCAGCATCACAGAGTTAGCAGCAGAGCAGTGGGGAGAGCTGACATTCTGTTCTTTGAGGACACCACTTCTGCCTCAAAATAGAAAGGGATGTGAAGTTTGAACAAAGGTCAGCTTCCAGAACAGCAGCAGATCCCAGAAAGGGTGGCTAATATAGGGGCTGGGCAGCAGGGCAGGGGATGTGGCATGGGGAGGGAGCTGAAATGGAGCTCAGCTAGGCTGGCAGACCAGAGAAAGGAAACAGGGAAAAGGGCAAGCAAAGCTATTGCAACGTTTGAAACTCTTCCTGTCTCAACCAGCTCTGCTGTTCTCTTCTCCCATTAGGTGTCCAGTAGCTCCCAGTATCCAAGGATATTGTACTGGTGACCACTCTTCACTCTTCCCCTACTACCACCCACCATGCCCAGAAAAGATGCTGTGACAAAACCAGAAGAAGAGGTACAGAATTTCTCCTTGGCAGTCCCACTGAAAAGTCTGGGAATCACTGCTCCAGATAACTTGAAATTTAGTTTCTCAGAAGAGTTTACTGTCAACTCATCCTCTGTCAACTTGGCTGCACTGGTACCTGCCATGGCAGCAGCCTGAGAGAGACTACTGATTTCCCAGGCCATTCTGCCACTTCCATGGAAAAACCCAGGGGTGGCACTGGGATTTAACCCAAACACAGCATGCAAGGCTAACAAACATGCCAAATGTGTGGGGGGTCGCATTTTTTAAATAATGTGTTCAAAGTGGAGTTTTCTCTCCTTTAATCTAGCAGGCAGTTAAATCTCTTCCTACACTTCACAAAGCCTATCTTGCTGTCGCTGCTCCACTCTTGAATTCCAGATGAGAGCAATGAACTTATCTCATGTACATGAGTTAAGCCCATCAGGGAGACCTGACTAAAAAACTATTAAGAGTTTGAACAGTGTACTGTGTACAAAAAACTATTCATCTCTTCTTTTTTCTCACCTCTGTGCCTAGTTGGAAAAAATATTCCCACCTCACAAGTTAGAGACAATCAAAATGTTTCACAAATTCTTCTGAGATTCTAATTTCCACCTTAGTTATAATCACTTCACAACTTTAGCAGCATTACTTCTTAAAAGGCAAATCTGTAAATTATACATTTATAAAAACTACTCTTTAGAGCAACTTGTTTCATTTCCAGTTCTTGCCTAATGAAAGCAGCAATGCAAACACAGTTTTATTGTTGTTCACTGTAGAATACGTTTTGCATTCTGGACCTGAAGAAGTCAAGCACACCTGCACTTTAGTAGCATCTTCTAGTGGAAAAGTGCATTAGAAACTTCATATGGAGATCAGGATAAACTCTTTAATAGATATTCATTCAGAAAATCAGGATGCAATACTGTGATTAAAAGCACCCTGAAACAGCACTATAGGATATAAGAATTTAAAGCTTTCAGAAGTACTGGCCCACAGAAAATACTCCAGTATTACTTTGGAAACCAATTAATCTTACATATAGCTTCTGAATAATTCTGTCACATTATTCTTTGTGGTGAGTTTGTAAAATCAGCAACATTTTACTGCGAAGTTGTAATGAGTGAAGTACTTGGAACTGGCTTTTATCTTATACAGAGAACACAAGTGCACCACAGCTGTAATGAAACAATTTCCTGTACCAGAGACTATAACTGAAAGTGCCAGTGCAAAGATCCCCTGCCTGACGCATGACTGTGACAGGCAAACACATCCAAAACACAGCTACTGTCTCTCTATCTACACCTGCTGGAAAATTCCCAGGAGTGTTGAAGCTGCAGAACGATAACCTGGTTGCCAAAAAGGTGTAAAACCATGAAACAGTGCACTCACCAAAGCAATGCTTTGAGTCTCCTCATGTGTCAATCTTACAATATTTGGCACACTGGTATTAATGAAAAAATATCCAGAACCTTGTTGGATGTGAAGTTCTGTCTGCAAAACCAGGAAAGCATCCATAATTAAGACTATCTTTCTAGTAAAGCTGTTTCTTCACACATCTTCTGTAATGTGTGACATTTTCCTGCCTGCAATTGGAAAGCAGCAAAGTAACTTCTCACCTGAGCATCAGGGTGGTTGTAGACGGAGACCTCAGTAGGGCTCACTTTCGCATCTTCCACAAGCATCAGTTCAATGGTGGCAGGCCCTGGGAGCACAGCTTCATGCTGCAAAGAACAGTGTTAGTTACAGCAAAGAGGCAGAACACTGACAGTGTCCCGTGTGTGCGGGGAGGATGTTTAAAGCAGGTAACCAAAGTTCAGAACACAGGCATGAGGGTATGATATGCCTACAAGATCCAGACGGCTCAGTCAATCCTCCTGCACAGGGAAGGGCATGCTCAGGGTTAATCTGCTCTGCATCCCTGGCTAAGACAGAGGACAAGGGCCAGGCACTGCAGGATCAGTGAATGATGTCTGACAACTCAGAGCCATGGCCCAAGTTCATACCGAACGATAAGGCAAACAAATCAAGTTTTCTATCTCTAACTCATCTTTTCGAGATTCTTCTTAGCAGGTCACCAGGAGAAATTCTTCCTTAAATGTAAGTACATGAACACTGATCAGATGCAGGCTTAATCACCCACCCATAACAGTATTAGCTCAGAAAAGGAAAAATGTTTCTAGAGGAAGTCACTACTCTGCACCCATTTCACCTCATTAGTGGAATTATTTCCTTGATGTAGAAAGGATGTCATCTTTCCCTAATGACTTAATAGGGTGTTCCACTTAAACATGGAACAACAATCAAGACATCTCAGTGTCGCATCTGTTAGATTTTCCTTTGTGTTTTTGGCTGCAAAGAAGGAGAATGGGCAGGTTTGAAAGCAGAATAAAGCAGCCTGCTGCTCACATACTTGAAAAAAGCAGCCAAGTCACCTCTTTTTAAAAAAAACAATACATGAGCCTACAAAGTGCAGCAGAACTGCCATCTACAGCTACTATAGAGTCCCCCCAAATTTAAACACAGAGAACAGAACTTAAGAGAACTCCAGTGTTCTCTGAATTCAAGGCAAAGTTCAGAGCATTCACTTTTCTAATTAATTCTAAAAGTAAGAAAGAATATTGAATATTGGTCTAACAAATCACAAAATGATTGCAGAACAGCAAATGTTCATATTACAACTCATTTTTTTAAAAGAAAAACAAACACAACCAAATATTTCAAGTAACTTCATAGCAAAGTACTGTGTCTCTGCAGTAATTCTCACTAAGCTGTAGTCAAATTCTTCAGGGGAAATGCATCTACACCATTCTTCCCTACAGGAGAAGAGTAGAAACCTCACAGAAAAGTCAGGAACCAAGTGGCAAAACAGACCACCTCTCAAAGAGTTTACTAAGCAGATGCCACCCAGGCCATGCTGAGAGGAACCTGGCCCACAGGGTATTTCACACTACTGGTGCCCATCTGATACCTGCTTTGAGTTAAATCCTGTAACCTCTCACTGCATATTTTAGGCTTTGCTTCAGCTCTGTTTTCAAGGTACTGCATACAGTCCAAACCCACTTAAGTCTTGCTTAACAAGATTAAACAGAAATTCCAGTTAGGAAGCAGAATATTTTAAGAGTCAGTTATTCCACATCAGGTTATTCCACAGGCTGAAACCTGCCCTTATATTCAGTTTAAAAGAGACATAAACAGATCTCTGCCATCTGTTTACACCTGTCTTCTTTGTTCATCATCACTACCTTTTGCTGTTTTTCTTCCCTAAGTTGAGTATCTACAAACTAAGCATTTCAGGAAGTGGCTAATGACTTATAAAATGAGAGCCTGGGCTTATAGCTGGCATTGTACAATGGAGAAGTCTCTTAGGAAAAAAAAGAGAGCGCACTAGTCTAACATATGGACCATATGAGGAATCAGTCAGCTTTTGCTTTGCTCATGCACAACTCTCCCACCCCGCTTTGCAGGGGCAATAATCCATTTGCTTTTCCCAGTGACAGCTGCATGAAGCACATGGCTGCTTTAGTGCAGGACAAGCAGCAGAGTTTCACCAATTCATTAAAAAACCCTAAACTGAAACAAAACAAACTGAAACACTTCTCTGTAATGCCCTTGCCCAGATGGTTAAAAAAACTCCCAAGGACTTGGATAGATTTGATATGGATAGCACCACCTAGTGCAGAGGAAAGCAGGAAAAGGCATGAATCAGCACAAAACCGCTGCTGTATGAACCAGATTCCACCATGTACCTGCCTTATTTGTACAGTGCTGTGTGTGGAGGGAAAAAATCCATCCCAGGAACACTGGGCATTAACCACAGGAAAATGGCAAAGCTCCCCTGTGTGCTGTTACCGGTATTTTGGCTCTGGCTGCCTTCAGGTGGGGCTGCTGGAATGCAGCGGCAGCGGCGGAGATCATAGCAGTTCCAAACTCACGGTCAACTACCACAGTTTGTAAGCCTAGAATACAACAAAGATGAAAAAATACACTTAGTTCCTCTAGGATCGTTCTCATCAGACAAGAACTTTCTCTCTCAAGACAGGTTCTAGACATTGGGCTTTTTTTCTCCTCTCTTTAATAGCACACACTAAAAAATGCACACTGATGTTAAACTGAAGTTTGACTGCAGATTTCAGTACTTTCTTTAATCAAACTCAGACATTACCGAACAGATTTAATCCTGACCTTCAAACAATGAAATGCTCATTTAAACCAACATACCGTGCATTTTCTTCTGACCATTCCCCTCTTCCTTCAGAGTCAGTTCCATTGGCAGCTCCAGCTCAATATGAGCAAGGGCCTTATTTGTGGATTCCCATACAATACTAAGAGAGCTGAAGTTGTCAAATTTCCTGCCTTTCTGGTCATAGGCAGCCAAATCCAGTATTGGATTGTGGTAATTGGAAACAGGAACCTGAAAAAGAAGGCGTATTTTGAACAGATACAACAAGATATTTTAATCATTAAAGAAAACATATGCTGAGTTCCATGAGGTTGGTTACATCAACACATAAGGAATGTTTGTTAAAATGAGGCATCAGTGCAGTCATTAAGATGTGCTCCAACAGCCTTGAGGTTATCTCAGCTGGTCAGAGAATGGTTTTGGTTACACCAGGTGGGTTCAAGCCCTGTATGGGCCATTTAGAGTCGGACTACATAATCCCTGTGGGTCCCTTCCAACTCAAAGCATTCTGTGAATCTCTAAACTCTAAGGGGATTTTCTTGGAGCAGGGGTTTGGGGTTTTTTTAGCCAGTGAATTACCTTAAAACAAACAAACAAACAAACAACAACAACAAAAAAACCCAAACCAACAACAATAAAATTGAAACACAGCTCAACTAAATTGTTTTTAGAATTCAAACAGATTATGACAAACACTGCTGTCTGTTAAAGCTCAAAATTCTGGTGTTGTTCTGATGAAGATCATTATCAACAGCAGTGCACCAAGGCAGGCTGACACATAATAGAGCCTGAAAAGCAGGTGAGCTCTGAGGTGGCTAATAATACACAAAAATCTCCTTCTCCTCTTGTTATTATATAGAAGCTCATTAAAATGATTCATCAACTGTGGCTTTAGGGAAGGAGGATGACTTACATTTGCCTGGGAATATTAACATGACAAAAATGTTGTTTACTCAGCAGCCAACATGTGACAACACTCATTAGGAATAAAAACAGAATAGCCAAGTTCTTTATGCCTGATAATCTACACATATCTGTTGTCCATTTACTGCAGGACCACCCTCAGCCTGCTCTATGCAGGAGCTCCCAAGGGCACCAGTGTGGCCAGAGCTCCAGTTACTGCGCCTCTGGCAGCAGCTCGGATGCTTTATTTCACACATGGAGCTCCAAACACTGATTTTTCAGCTGTAAGTACACCTTCTTCTCCTGTCACTTCCCCAGCTTACCACTTGCTTTTTCTGCTGGAGCAAAGGGCAGGAGAGATCAAGCTGAGAGCTGCCATAAACAGGTATCAAAGTCAGCTGGGAAGGGACAGCACAGACGAACTTCACCACAGCAGATTCAACCACTGGGAAAGGGTTGGTGACTGTAGGGCTGTTCCCAACTGTTAAAGTAATAACCTGAAAACAGCAAACAAGGAAAGAGTTGAGTTCAAGCATGCTGCATTTCCACAGGTCTGAGCTACACTGTGACATCAGAATGAAAATCAAAAGTACAGTTCTTGGGGATTTTACTGCACTATTAACACACAGGAAGATGTAAAAAGGGGAGCATATTTCAAGAACAGTTCTTTATCACTATAAAAGTACTGTTCTGGGAACTCTTCTTAGGTGTTCATGTTCATTACTATCAAACTTGATTGAAACAACGAATCTCTTGTGACTGAACAAGGAAACAGCAGGTGTTCTTCTGGAGTGAGCATAGAACAGCCCAAAGGCAACATTTACAGTGAGTTCAGTGTGTTTAAAAACATCTCATTTTTTATTTTACATTAATTTTTCAGCCTTCAGCAAAATTCAGGGGATATAAAACCAGAGAATGCTGGTTTTCTCAGAGTTTGAGAACCAGAGAGGCAGCTCTGATCACCTGGCTCATCCCCTTGTGCACTCGTATAGGCAGAGCCACTCAGGTGTGATGTGCTGGGGACAGCCAGCCTTGCACAGACCTCCATATCAACACCAAGGCTTGTTCCTTTTGAATCTGCACTTACAGGAACAGCTCCACTTTTCAAAGCTTCCACTGAGGAAATACGTGGAACTTGATGGCCCAACCAAAATGCTTAGGCCCTGCAGAATTGCAGGAGGAAAACACTGTATCCAACCTAAAAGTTCCATGGGCTGCGGAAGGTGAATAAAGCAGGAGAAACCACTTCTGTATGTTGGAGAGAACAAACCAGGGGGAGAATGAGCCACGGCCACGCTCACCAAGGCTGCACAGAGAGTAGAGCGGTCAATTCTTGTGGCTGGCATTTGTTAGAATAAACACAATTATACTGGAAGGTAACACGGTTAAGAGGCGCAAGTCAGACAGAGGAGTCAGCCTGCTCAGTACCCTTCTGCTCTGATCCTGTTTATGCAAACTGAACCTGCACCCATCAGGATGTTCAATGCATCCCACAACATAAGGCTTCCACAACTCATTGCAGTATATTGCATTATACTGCAATAAACCCACCATCAGCCACTTTTTAACACAATGTTGTGAAATGCTCACTCTAAAACCCGCATCACAATGCATAAACAATGTACTTACCCAAGTCCTTTATTGGCTCATTCTAAAAACATCTTGCTACATAACAGGCATATGGCAGCATAAACCTGTCTGGAGCCAGTTCTCAATGCCTGATGGAGGGCAACACTGAGCCCTTCTGCCACTTACCTGCTCTCCCAGGCTCCTGCACAGCACCCTAACCCAGTGCTGGTTGTTGTTTCGGGGTGCGAGAGGTTCAAGTAAAGACAGGGCAATACTTTCTGCATCCTCAGCAGCGACGTTCCTGAAGAACTTGGAAGGTTCTTGGACCCATGGCCTTGGTCCTCCTTCAAACAACATATCCTTAGAGGAACCCAAAGTCACTAAAGCAACAGAGGGTGGATCAATAGCCTGTAATCAATTAATTAATTAAAAATTAATCATCTATTTACACAGTTTGGTTGTGCTCTGCAAAATAAACTTCCTTCTGAATGTAACAGCTGTATTGGTTACTTGGATAAGGCTGTGATTTCACCCATGCAGTGGTTTGTCAGCATACTTAGTGAAAACCAGCTGCACCAAAATCCGCAAGGATTCTGTCCAGCTGGATTGGATTCAGAGGAAGCTATGGACCCAAAGAAAAGTTTTAGCTGCATTCTAATCACATCTCCCTCATGAGGAATTACAGCAAAAGGGAGACCCTTAATCTACTCTTCTGAGCACAGAGACTAGTATTCTACTACACTTTTAAAGATATATTCAAACTAAATGAAATAATATCAAATTGTAATTTCACTTGACAGTGCTCTCTCCAGAACGGTTCTGTGTATGTAATTGTTCTGCTACACAAGTTTTACTTCAAACCTCTCTAAAAACTTCTGCACTGATGTACATTCCTGGGACAGCCTGTGCTGTTCACCACCACAGCAATTAACCTGACATTTAGTATATACAAAAACTATTTCCAGTTTGTGTTTCACAACATCATATTACAGCATCATAACCACAAATTTGTACATTTGCACTAACATTTTTTCCATATTGGGGGAAAGCTATGTTCAAATACTCAGACTTCAGCCTGCAGTCAGTGATAGGCCTCTGCAGATGAGGTAACAAAGCAGCCTCTTCTGTATTTCCATCTATTGACCCTGGACTCAGCTTCTTTCTTATTAACATATTTTTATCTTTCTTACTCTTTATTTTCTTATTCCAGTGGTGGAATGTAAACCCACCCACCTCAGTTTTTCAAAATTATTCCTTACATAACCTGCTGCCTGTCATGCAAAGGTGTTTCAATGATGGATTGCTCCAGGAGCAGAGGAAGCAGACTCACTCTCAATGGGAGATAAGCGGCGATGGCGATGCTGGCACTGAGGCGCACGTGCCCATGGGTGTACACAACCACCACCCTGGTGTACCCCTGAAATTCAGCCTTCACTCTCACTCCAGTGCAAAAATCAGCAGTTGGCTTAAGTCTTCCTGTCAGATAAATTAAAATATACAAGATATATCTGGAAAGATTATTTGGAGAGAAATGCCCAGGCATGCTCATCAAATTCAACACGGCTGTTTGAAAAGAGCCTATCAGAAAGATGGAGAGAACTTCTTACAAGGACACGTAGGGACATGACAAGGGTGGAGCCTTCAAACTGAAAGAGGGAGGATTTAGATGGGATACGGGGGAAGAATTCTTGCCAGGGCTCTGGCACAGGGTGCCCAGAGCAGCTGTGGCTGCCCCAGATCCCTGGAAGTGTCCAAGACCAGGTAGGACAGGGCTTGGAGCAGCCTGGGATAGTGGGAGGTGTCCCTGCCCATGGCAGAGGGTGGGACTGGATGAGCTTTTAAGGTCTCTCCAAAACCATTCTGAATTAAAAAAAACAAATATATCCTCAAAATAGAACTACTTGGATTCCCTCCACTCTGGAGTTTGGCACTTCTGTGGGGATACAGTACAGAGCCATAAATCAGTGATTTAAGGAGAGGTGTAACTTGGTGAGACCTGTCACCAATTTAGCTTCAAACCAGGAAGAGAGTTAAAAGCACCTTCAAGTGGGCTGAACACGCCAGGGTTCTCCAGCTCCACCACAAGCTCCATGTGTGAGCAGTCTCTCAGTGGGACCAGCTTGCCCCTGTTCACACTGGTCTGGCCACTGATCCTCAGGGGCAGCTCCAGCACCTGCCCCACGTGTGCTTCCACCCGGCAGGGAGTGAACTTCATGGTGCTGGGCTCGCTCATGTACACCTGCCAGAGGGAAGGAACAAGGACACGTGTATGCCAGTGCTCTGCTCCCACGCTAGCCCAAGCCCACAGCAGCTTGATGAGCCTTCCTTTCACTGCTGCTCCTGTAATTCTCTCTTCTGCTTTATCAACTTTGAAGTGTGGACTAAGCTGTGTGCTGTTTCCAGGAGGTACCATCACCACCTGGGAGAGGCTCAGCATCCATTAAAGAATCCACCTCAGACTGACCACAGATTTCATACAATCACTGTGATCAAAGCTTTTATTTGCATTATCTTAACTATTTAATCTTCTGCAACTGCTTCAGGAGACCAAACCATATGGTACAGAGTTAAAGCTGTATAATCTGTGTTGATTAACTACTCCTAAAACTACTACTACTAAAAATGTGTTCACTGAGATGAGTAAACAGAACTCTGAAGAGCTGTTCCACAAAGAACACAGGAACAAAGGCAATCAAAAACAACCTATTCAGATTGTGCAATACACTGCTCTGAAAGCTCACATGGACAAAAGGTTTCTTTCTGTCTTCAGGCTTTGACTTATGTTTGAGGATAAGAAGTTTTAGCTGAAAAACATCTTCATTCCTGTGTCTCTGGCTGGTAACTGTTGCATTGCTAAAAAGTAGCATCCTGGGTTGTTCAGAGAATTATTTCAGAGCGAGTGTGTAAGCTAAATTTTGAACAGATTTTAATTCATGTCACATCCTTCCCTTTGGGGCCACCAGATATACTGCTCCTGCATTCTCCTCACTCTACACCACGCACCCTGATCACCATCACCTAAGAACAGGGGATGGTCTGCAGACACCACAAATATCCCTCTTTAGAGCTATGATTTTCGTTGCCATTTTCTCCTAGTTTTCCTAAAATACTGTTTGTTCTTGGCCAGCTTAGGTATCTGGAGTCAATCTGCAGCACTGGGTGCACTTCAGTTACTTCTCCAGACAGAAATTTCTTTGCACATCCTGGTAACAACTGTCACCCTTTGATACCAAGGGAGAACACTCACCTATCGATCTACAGAATGAATTTTTAGTTTGACTTGTCTGCTTAGACAGCCAGGTCAGGAGTCAATTACCATTTCCTTCTTGCAATTAAAACTTCCCACAAGGAAAAGGACTTGCCAAGGAGAACAGGAAGAGGCAAAAACGGGAGTGAAGTTAATGCACTGGACAGTATTTGATTCCCTGAAACACAAACTGAAACTAATCACTTAACCTGCCACAGGGCAGGAAGCAGAATGCCTATGGCATTCTCAGCTCCTCTGCTGTTTACAAAAGCCATGCTCAAGAACAGTAACTGAAAAATAAATTTCTTACCTTCACTTCTCCATAATGCAACGGATTCCGAACATCAAATGCCTGAATAATGCTGACTCCAGCATCACTCCCAGTGGTCATTACTCCTTTTGCTGTCACTGTGGCTACTGCCTGGTTAGAAGAGGACCAGCTGAAGTTGCCACTTCCACCATGAGCCTGGAATACAGAGGAAAAAATCTTTCAAACATTTAATCAAGTACATGGTTCTCACATTTCACAGCTTTGGATATCTTGCATGAAAACCAGGAATGCACTGAGGATGGAACATACAAATAAAATAATACCTCAGAACTTAATAAGCAAGATGAAATAAGACAGAGATGAGAAGACTGCTACCACCCTTCATTCATTTTAATTTCAGCTTCTCTCACACTCCAAAGTAAATGTCAAAAGTTCCATCAGAGTAAAACACAGGTGAACACTGGAGCATTTTTTTTATGTATATTGTTGTAATTTCTTTAACTTCCTCAGCATTTCCTTTAACCTATTTCATAATTAAAAATGAACAGGGTGATAAATCTTGTCTAGAGGGACAGTGTGGAAAACAAACCAATCTAAATTATGCAGGAGCTTAGCTAGTAATTTTTACCAGGAAAAGAGAATAAAAAGAAAAAATGAAGAGGAGGGTCATTTCCCTTCTTCCTTCCTCTGAGCACATGCACAACCTGATTACAGAAGGACACAGACAAATGAATAAATAGGTAGTGGCGTGTTACAGATGATGCACAGGATGTGGTGAGAAAGGCTAAAAGAATGCAAGAGTTCAGCATATCTGTAAAGGTATTTTAGTTGAAACAGGGATATGACCAGAAAATATAAAACAGAAATACCCAATTCTTAATAACTGTATGAAGTCTCATGTCCTTGCCATAAACCCCAGACACCTCACTACATTTTTTTCTCTCTGGCAGTCAATCTGCTTTGAGGAGAGGAAGGGTAAAGCAGCTTCCCTGCAGGCTGATCATTAGCCACAGGCTGGCAGGGAGCTCCACACTGCTACCTGTGATGCCCTCCCCAGGAACCTTCCCATGCTCAGCCTCACACAGCTGGCACTGCACCTCCTGTGCGTGGACTGAAGGAAGGCAACAGAAACCATCTCATTAGCACAAATATGAACAAAGCAACCCCCAACAAACCAGGCAGCTGACAAAATTCACCCAGAATTCCTGCCAGGAATTCTGATACCATCTGGTGGGAGTTACTTCAGCTGTAAATAGAATTTGGTTAGATCCAAAAATCCCTTTCAATTTATTTTCAGAAGAACTTTATTCACTCATTTGAAACAGCCTGACTGAAGCTACGGAGTTGGAGGCTCTGACGGAGGAAGAAAACAGTTGAGCTGTGTGTGTGCTACTGACAACCACTGGTATTGTGGGATGGAGAGACCAGAAGAAAGGTCTCAGTTTAAGCAAAATTGAAATCTTGGGAGAAAAAAGTTTCTATGTTTTTACTGAAAAAAATCAGAGTAAAGTAAGAATACCGACACAATTACTGCAGTACTTGTAATGCAAGGAACGTTCTCTAGTGAGATACTTCATTATATATGCAAGATAAGATGAAGTAAGAATAGAACTGTGAGAGAGGTAGGAAACAAAATCACATTTCCTTTCCCTTACTGGGAAAACTACAGCAGAATTATGATGAGGTACTGAAAATGCAGATTTGTAGAAAGAATTTTTACCACACTCTGCTGGTGTCGTCAGGAATAGCATGAAGTAAACTAAATTAATCCCACGGAACAGACAAGTAGAGATGCAGGGCTTAATTCAATGGAGTCGCCTTTAGAATTAAACTGGAGAATGCAGAATGTTTAATCCCTAAGAGATTGATTCTCTCCATAGAATCACTGAACCAGTTAAGGCCAGAAAAGACCTCTGAGATCAACAAGTCCACCACTGAACCACATCCTCAGGTGACACACCCCCATGTTTTTTGAGCACTTCCAGGGATGGTGACTCTACCACTGCCCTGGGCAGCCTGTGCCAGTGCTCAACAACTCTAGGTGTGAAGAAATTTTTGTCTAAAATCCAATCTAAACGTGAGGCTGTTTCCTCTCATCCTGTCCCTTGTTACCTAGGAGAAGAGCTTGGCACCAACTGTGCTGCCTATTTGGATATGGTTTACTTAAGACAGATCCAAAACTGAGCACTATTTTCTTGCTAAAAGGGAGAGGTAGGAACTGCGCATCCAACACTTAGCACAGAGTCTGAGTATCACTGGCCTGGGATGAGAGTCTGGGCTGAGAAAGCACAACTTTCTTTTCCCTACTTAGGCTAGACATACTGGATACTGGAACACAAACTATTTGTTTCACGAAGCATAAGGAATAACTGACAGCTTGGGAGAAATGACACACCTAAAAAACACTGAAATCATCTCTTCTGTAAACGAGCTGTGGCCTTTGCCTCCCTGGAACTTTGGATTAGGAGCATGAGGTGTGTGGCCAGTGAAGAATACTGATGTCCAAGGCTGGAAGAGTGCTGCTACTTAATCTTGTCATGCCCTTTTTGCAGTCACTTCACACTCCCATTCATATTTCCTATCCTTGCCAGCAAAGGGCAGCCTCTAATGATTGCTGTGGAGCTTTGGATATAGGATGCTTCCTGGAATTCCAAAACACTCCAGGCATAGGTGTGTGGTGCATGCGTAAGGGAGAAAGGAAGGGATCACAAGAAGTAGAAGTCAGTGGGGTTTTTATGTTTATTGGTTTCTTGGTGTTTTTTTAAATTGTATATTAATTCCTGTAACTAATGCCTCATAAAGTTCTTCCAAATTACATTTTGGATGCCACTATGCCTGAAGTCAACCCTATCTTTGTGGTGTCAAGCCCCAGAGTGCCTGCCTGAGCAAGCTGGGTAGTTCTTTGGCATACCTGGATGGTGCACTGGTAGACTCCTGCTTTTGGCTGCCAAGGAAACATCAGAATGCTGGGTAAAAGAAATATTGGAACATAGATCTCCACATCCTGCTGGTTTCGCACTGGGACTGGTAAGGTATGAACACCTCCATCCTGCGAAGTGCAAAAGCAGTGTTATAAATGGCACCACAGAGATGCCCAGAATTAATGTTTAATACTTCTGTACAGAAAAGTCCTTGAAAACACCTCAGAGAGGAAGGAAAACTATTTAGGACCACTTATGAACACAGTTCCCTGTGAGCAAACAGTTTCTAGCAGCAAGGTGTGCCACTGTATTAAATGAGTGCTACTGCTATGAAGATCCAAGTGCCCACGTTAATTTAAAAGGGAAACAGCAGGAAGAAATACACTCTTTCACTGCTCCTGTTTTGAGACCTCATTTGGAGAGCCAATCTGGAGGCTCAACACCTATATTTACTCTTTGCTCATCCCACAGTATACAAAATTCAGCCAGAAAGACCCATTGCTCAGCCCCCCCAAACGCTGGCCTTCACAGCTCTGCTGTCACTGCAGTGCCACAAACCTCTGGCACAACACAATGTTACTGCAGTTCTGAGGAAAAAAAAAGCTCTCGGGATGTCTTTTCATTGAAGAGATGATCTCTGACACAGAAAATGGCCATGGCTTATCATATTCAAGGAGCTACTAAATTCTGCTCAAGGAATCACTAAGGTGATTTCACATCAAATGGGTTGAAGGGTTGAATTTTCAAGCAAAAGCAACTCACTTCCACATCACCTGCCCTAGTTAGCCACACATTCAGCAGCCTGCCCAACCAGCAGAAAGTTAATGAATATTAATTTGGAGAAATGTGCAGGCTGATACATTCAGCAGGCTGTCATTCCAGAGTTTAAGGTTACTTACCAATTGATAGCAAACTTCCCCAACGTAACTGACTGCAGAACAAGGCCAGGGTATGAGAGTAATGATCCTACCACAATAAAGTGTAAAATTCCCTCAACCTGTGAGAGGCCCTTGCCCAGCACAAGGATTTGCCACAAGAAAAGAAATCAGTGCTGTGCACCACTACTTTAACAGGAGTTTGCCACATGCTCGGGAGCAAAATCCCAGTCTTTATTTAAGCAAATCCTCTATTGACTCAATTGACAGTTTTCATGAAGAAAGGATTTTAGAATTTGGTGCTTAATCTGTTCAAACAAAGACAGCTCAGACCCATGTAATTCTTAGGTTTCTTTTTTGCTAGGAAGTCACTACTGCACAGCTCAATTATTTTTAGGCCTACCAGTGAAGCAGAGGAGTTTTCACAAAGACACACCTGATCAACTACTGATGTCAGCGCAGCATCAATCATGGTCTGACCCGCCTTTACTGCCATCACATAATGATAGGATCCATTCAGAGAGGACTGCAGCACCTCCAAGCATTCTTTGGACAGCTCTGTAGTAATTCTGATGTTCTAAAACAAAAACATTAAATAGAAATTGCCACAGGTAACTGACATCAATAGAGGACAGAAAGCACTAAACATACAAGTTTTGACTCACAAGTCAGTGAGCAAACCACTGTTTAATAACATGGTTCAAAGACACATTGTTGAAACTGATTAGAACTTTCCCTACAGAAGTTTCAGTCTTTCAGGAAGATTTTACATTTAGACACAACATTAATTTTCACATTATCAGCAACATGTAATTTAACATGGAAGTACCCATATTCATACCACTAAATAATTCATATTTTACAGTATTTTTCTAATTATTTCCTTCTTCAACACAGAAGAACATGAACATACTGCCTCAACAGCACACTACTGAGCTCTAGCTCAAAACTCAGATCTGTATCCCAAAAAGCAATTATGGGCAAATAAAGTAACATTCCCATAGCTCCAATATTCTGAAAAGCAGTAACTTAATACAATTTTTCTTGTTGCAACTGAATGATTTAAGTTTAGTTTCTTTTGTAGTTTTTTAAGAGCTATGTATATTTCGTAACTAGTATATAGAATTTAGGAAGAGGCTCTTCCCTGTGAGGGTGATGAGGCCCTGGCACAGGATGCCCAGAGGAGCTGTGGCTGCCCCTGGATCCCTGGCAGTGGCAAAGGCCAGGCTGGACAGGGCTTGGAGCAGCCTGGGACAGTGGAGGGTGTCCCTGCCCATGGCAGGGCTGGGACTGGATGATTTAAGGTTGCTCCAAGCCCCATCCAACCTGAAAGACATTGTCCAACTTCCATTTTTTTTCTACAGCACTTAACTCCCAATAATTTCACAGGAATCACCCAGAGTGCTTTATTTTTAAAAAGTAACAACAACAAAAGAAATGGAAAAACTGAAAAGGCAAGAAACAACATGCTTTGTACTGTCCTGTCTCAATGTAAATAAGAAATCACACAAATAATGCCAAAGCAAGCCAGGATGTAGGAGACAGTCACTGAAAATTATCTAAACATTTCAACTTACATCAGATAAATACACCTTATTTCTTGATTTATCATACACCTCAATTGTAATTTCATAACGTCTGCCTGTTTCCAAGACCCATCTGTCACCTGGATGAACTGTAAATCCTGCAAAACAGGAAATATTGAACAGTGCAAACCAACAGCCTCTTTATCTAACTGAGAAAAGCATTTTGCTTCTGGTGCCCATATGCTGCAGATGAACAGTCATTATTTTAAACTGCTGACTACAGAGATAAAAGAAAATACATAAAACCTACTTCACGTTGAACTACCTTTATGAACAAAATTAATTTTCTGTGAAAACTAACACTAAATGGAAGCATGGAGGTACAGCATGAAAACCACAGAAACAAGGCCAGAAATTGCATTAAGCAATCAGGAAGACCGCAGCAATACCAACCCAAATATGCAGGAGGTACCACATGGACCGTGCTGTTGGGCAGTCTGGACACCCCCTGCAGGCGGACACCTGAGGGCTCAGTCAAGGAACACACAGGTTCAGTACTAGTCAAGTCAAGGGCAGCATTTTCCTGGGACTCCTCCTCTTTGGCTATTTTAAACCTCATTGTACACTGCAAATAAACATTATCCCCATTTCACTGCAAGACAGTGAGCACTTTGGAAGAGATCTCACTAGAAAATATAATGATTAAAATATAAAAATTAAATAAAGCCCCATCACATTTCTACACTGACTGAGGGGAACAGACATGATTTAAGTGGTCTTTTGCCACCTAATTTGTTAAAACATTCCAAGACATCAGACAGCTCTGCTGAGACTGAATTCACAGCAGTGCTGCTTTCCACAGCTCCACCACTGCTCCTGATTTCCAGATTCTTGGTAGAAATGAGGATAACTTGATCTTTCTGTATTGCTAAGGGTGGAAGGCTTGTCTCCTTCCACAGAGTGGTGGCTGGAGAAGCATTCCCAAGGAGGATACTCTTGTCCACCAGGATGAGACTGGTTTGGCCCTGCTGCAGTGCAGTCACAATGGATGTTGCCTGGTCCAGCTTGGCAACTGGCCAGGAGGGAACTCCCTTGGGATGGAGAATGTTATTCTGGAGCTGCAACTCATACTGGTCTGATGGCATCGCTATTTCTGGAGGTGAAACAAAACATATGAAACAATAAAAGCAGGTGTGGCAGTATTTGGCTGCTGCTAATTATAGCTGATTATTTTTTATTGATGCCTAGTGCATGTATTAAATCAGTATTTTTATTGTCTTATAAAAATAGCACTACTGTCATCACATCAACACATACACAAAAAATGAGCTTCTTGGAAAATTTAATGTCTTTGAAACTCCAATTCACAACTAAAACCATCTCACTATTTAGACCTAACATTCAACTGATTTCCAGCTTCCAAAGAAAATGAAAAGACATGAGGGAAAAAAGGAAAAAAGAAGGGAGGAGAGAAAGCGCAACACACTGCATTTTGAAACAGGCATAAAGTCAGCTAACCCACATTTATAAAGGCTTCACTTTGTGGAGCAAATCCATTTGCCAATTAAACATTTTCTGTTAGAAAAGTTACTAATCTAAATTTGATTTAAGTAAGAAAGTCAGTTCCTCATTGACTGTCAACATCTAAAATGACAACGTTAGCTCCTATTTTAAGTTTTTAAGTCCTCGTCTTTACATCCTTGAAAAATCTGCAAAAGTATATTCTTAACAGTCACAATTTTTTTGACTGAAAGAACTAAACAGCTGTATCACTGTGTGCCTTAGGAAAACAGTATTAAATATTAACAAAGTAGTTTAAACACAATTAAAAATTTCTCAGAAGTTAAAAATTCACACAAAGCATTAAAATATAAAAATAAATGAGACCAGAACAAACCTGTGATCTTCCCTTGACTCAGTTTCTGAACTCTGTACTGAATTGATGTTCCTACCAGAAGATAAATGTCATATACTGGATTTAAAAGGATGTTTTCCAAAATAAGCAACCTGACTTCCGCAGGGTGTACATCCTGTTGACAGAGGGGGAAAGAAAAGTAACCCCATTAAGAGCAGCTCATTTGTTTGAAACAGACCAAGCAGCAGGAACTTAGAATCTAGCAGTGAAAAACATTACTTGCTGCAATTCACTCTTTATTTTCATCTTGAATTTTGTCACAACATGGCAATGCAAAGGACAGTGAATAGTACAGAGATCTGCCCTGTGCACAGTGCAAGAATGAAGAAAAATTCATGTCTGTATGAAAATAATTTTGGAGCATACAGAAAAACTTGAGACAGATGCTCATTCAGACATTTAGAAATCCATCTTCCCCCCTGACATTCACAATTCTTACCTTATAGATGCTTTCCTGAAGTCTTGCCTTTAATTTAGAACTCCCTGTTCTCATTCCAGACACCAGAATGGTATCTCCTTGCTTGGCAACTTTTTCCATTTCCAATATATAGGAAGGTGGGATGTAAGTGGATTCTAAGAATTTGAGTATACTGAAAGGTGAATCAAAATTGAATAGAAAATTGTTAGCGAATCTTTGTAAACCCACAGAGAAACACCACCAACATGTATCCCCAGCCAGTTCCATTTTTTAAGCCAATTTAAGACACTTGCCTGGACCAGATATCCAAATTTTACTCATTCTTTGAGGTATCTGCAGCTAATTTCTTTGACAGATAAGCTTGTCTGAAGCTTGCTCGTGAGCTATCAGAAGACTGCACATGCTGTCTACTATGACCCCTCCAGTTTGTTCAGTAGGTGAGACTGCAAAAACTCTCTATATTGTAGAACTCATGTGCAAGACCCAAAGCTTACGTTTATAAAAGCAACAGATCAACAAACCCAGAACGTAACTCCGACCTCTCTCAGGAAGCCAGGATGTACTTAATAAATGACTATGAAAATCGTCTACAAGCAGAAGACTAGTAGTAACTGTTAGAAACTCCAGTGAAAAGTGGCAAAAGGGAGGGAAGGCATTTCCCATGAATGAGCAAATGACAGGAAATTTTGGGAAGAGGAGCACAGGGTGTCACCTTCTGCACATCATCTACTGGCTTCATGAGCACTTTCACAGTAAAACCAGTAGAGCAGTATGGAGAACAGTTATGGATATTAACATATTCATGACAATTTATGATTTATTTGCAAAGCTGTACCACCTGTAGAACACTTCTATGCTATCATAGTTAAGCCAACAGTAGAGCATATATCAGTATTAGTTTGGTTAAAATCACATCAGCAAATACTTATACTGAAAGAAAAAGCTCCACATGTACTAGATTTGGGATATCCAGTCCCACTAAGCCATTCATTCTGGCTCTCACTCATGCCTGCAGCTTCAGGTGTATGATGGGCTTAATAGGCCTTCCCCAGCTAATGCTGCTTCTCTAAGGCTGCAGAATCATTCTGTGCTTGCCCAGTAGCAAAGTCTTGTTTGCTCCCCCCACACCACTTGCAGTGTATTGGGAGTAGCAGTTTGAGGATGGAAGCTGGCTGTTAACCTTCCTGCTCAGTAGGAGAACTGGTTTCCCTGCAAGAAATCATCCTATTTTGACACCCAAATTAAGTGCCCACTGACACCTGAGACTCTTCAGGTTCAGAGCTCCTTTCTGAAATGGAAGGGGACTTTTTTCCCTCAAAAGCTAAAAAATAAAACTCTGCTGAAATCCTGAGATAACAATCTTACTGATAAAATCTTCCTTTTGCATGAGATGTTTCAGCAAGATCAACAACCGCATCTGTTTATTTCTGATTATTGCACCAGAGCTGCTCACTAACACTATCAGTTAAAATAAACAGGGATCAAAGTGCCCAGGCTGTCAAGTAGGTAGACGCTTAAAAAAACCCAACCTGAAACAACTGGCCCTTAACATCATAGTTTTACGTATCAGTTCAGTAAACTGCCTAGATGTGGGAAAGTATTTTACACAACAGACTGAACAGACTTTAAAGACCAAAGGAAATTACTTTACCGCAGAGCATCGTCAGAGTCTGAGAAGCCATCGGCCTCTGGGTCCTTCACCACTGTCCAGTCAAACACCAACCCTGCCAAAGTGCTGAAAGTGTTTCCTACAAATCAAACAACCAGATTAAAACAAAAATAGAGAACAAGCATAGTCTTCCTGGAAGATAAACCATGACTTATTTCCCCGGGGAATTTCTCTGTTTTATCCCTACAAGAACAACCATGAAGCACCCTTGAGTTTGCACAAACACCAAACCATGAATCCAATACTACACAGAGAATAAAAACAAATTTATTTTTCATTATTAACATATCACCATACTCCACTTTCCTGGTTTACAAACACAGGTGGCAATCATGGTTTAGAAACACAAGTGGGATGGGCTCAGTAAGAGCCCCAAACAATTAATTGAATGTTTTATAGCTGCTTGACACATTATTTCCTTTTCAGTAGTTGTCCTAAAAGCCCCTGTCTTGGTGTGTTATGCATGCACAAAACTTGATTATCAAAAGCATGGAATTCTTATCAGATCATGGCTCTTTTTCTGACGCTACAGACTACAAAAAAGCAGAAGTTTTCTGCTCCTATTAAATAATAATGCATTCAGTCCAAATGCACTGACTCTTATGAGCCTAAATAGTGCCTCCCAAAAGTGAGCATTTATGTACTAATTAACAGATTGAGCAGTTGGTGGCTGGTCTCAAACATCACCTCTGAACTTCTTGCTGGATATCTGACTAATCACAAAAATGCCCTTTTGCAAAATTCTTTAGACTACCTCAGCTCAAAAGGAAAAAAAAAGAAAGAACAGACAACTTCACAATGTTCACAAGGAATTATCCAGGAGAATCTCCTTAAAATTCTCCTATTGGCTTCAAACAATCAACTGTGTGACAAATAAAGCCAGTGCATGTATCAGACAGTTAAAACTTTCAATATATATTTAATCATTTACAAGATCTCTTACCTTCTGAATCCAAAGCATGAATTTTGAGCTCCAGTGGTGCATCTTCAAGGTAGAGCTCTCTCGTTGTGGACACTACTTGAATGTCGTGAATTAAATCAACGATGGCATCACAGCGAAGCACTTGTCCAGTCACTTGAAGAGACATCAGGAAGAGCACAAGAAATCATAATCCTGCATGTGCTCATCAGGAACAATGACAAGTCAAGATGCACCTCAAAATTAGCCAGTGGCACAAGACACTGACACTGAAGGAACTGAAACTTGGTCGTGACTCGATGAAGAAACTCGTGGTCAAATGGTGGCTCAGACAGCAAGTAAAGCAGTTGAACTCACTTGCTCACTGAACTGCAGAACAGATCTGCAGAAACTGATTTCCATCTGCATTGACAGGTACAGGTGTTGTCTGGGAGTGCTTATGCAGATTGCTACAGTGCTCTCATGTCCCAGAGAAATTAATGGCTTTTACCCACAGACATTAAACGCCCATGAACTCCTTCAGTTGGTGACTGCAAGGCATTTAATTGGCCATCTGGTTTTGCCTCTCTGTCACTATAAAAACCAACCAGGAATATTGCACGGCAAACACTAAAGCAACTACCAGCTTTTTCAAATGTGAAGTATCCGAATTGTATTAGTCATTTTTATTAAATACCTTTTTATATTTCAGTCACCCCGTCTATTTGTGGATTTTGGGGGGTGGGTGTTAAGAATTACATTTTTCCTGAGTGTATCATTAAAATAATTAACACTTATCTGAGGCAAACAGAAGTTAAAACCCACGCCCATGGAAAGTCTAAAATGACTGTGCATGGGAACTGAAATTTGTGTGTGCACCTGTAAATCTCTGCTTTGCTGCCGGAGGACAGCAGGATGCCCAGGAGAAGCAGTGCTTTGCTCAGACTCACGTGTATCCTCGGCAGAGATGATGGCGGTGAGACGCGTGGGCTGCGAGGAGCGCGCCTGGACCAGCGCTCTCTGTGAGCAGTGGAAGCCGTCCTGCCCCAGTGGCTCGATGCTCGCCACCTCTGGCCGCGTGGATGACCTGTGGGGTGGGGTGCTGTCAGCACACAGCTCTGCCTTCAAAGCCACAAAAGCAATTCACCTGGGACATGCTGCATGGTCAGCAGCTGACTTTGGGAAGAGCTGGATGGCAGCAGCTCCTTCAGGACCCCAGACTAGGCAAACGTGGGCTAAGGACGGGAAAAGCCCAGGCCAGAGGCAGGGCAGGCAAGCTCAGCATTCCCTCCACCACGGAATGAAACAACCTTCCCCTCAACCCATGGAGCAGGCCAGGGCATTACAGACTGGAGCCCAGCTCTCCTTTCCAGTGTGCCAAAAACGTCAAGATAAAATAACAACAAAACTTGAAGTGTTATTAAAACCCAAGCCTCTTGAAAGTAAATCTAAGACAGCAGCAATACACATCTGAGGGCTAACTGCAGAGCCAGTGAAATGTTCCAGCAGCCAAAGCCCATGCTAATCACTTTGGACCACCAGCCCTGTGCCCGGGCTGTTCCTCCCTGGCCACAATCACAGGTCAGAGCCGGGCAGGAAGAGAGAGACAGTGCTGGCACCCAGCCCCAAAACAGCCCCCACTGTGTGCCTGGGATCTGCTCACAAGGGCCCTTTGAAGGATTAAAACAATAAAAGCAAGCACTGATGGGTGACAAAGCTGCTGAAGAATTGCTTCTCCGGATGATGAGAGCAGCTCTGATGAAAGCGCTACACAAAATGCAATCTAAACTGGGAACTGGATCCCTCCTGGTAAAGATGAGGAAGCTGGATGGGTTTGGACATTTTTTCTTTTGGAAGATGTACAAACAGGCTACCTGGGATGTGTGGGGAAAATTCCCTAACACAGCAAGGAGCGGGATAGGAGTTCCAAACAAATAGCAATGTTGTATATGCCTGCATCCCTAGACACGGGTTTTACCTCCTTCTCTTACTGGCACAACAAACAAATCCACAGCAGTGAGAAAGTAAATTTCTCCTTAACTAAAATTGTACCTATTGAAAAAATCATCACACCACATTCAATTATCTGAGAGTTAACAGCTGCAGCCCAGATGAGCACAGACCTCTGCTTGTAGCCACTGCAATAAAACTGCAAATCCTGTTTCAAACCTTAAGCTCCAAGCAGTAGGGAGGGAGCTTACATAAGGAATAGTTTTACAGGATTTTGAAACAACAGTACCAACTGCTGACACAGAATTTCAAAGTATTTTATCTGATCAAGGAAAAAACAGCCCATAGCAGTATGCAATGGGCAATTTAAACACCAATTAGAAGCTTAAACCTGAAAATTGTTTGCCGGTACCTATTCTATATACCTAAACAAAGTACACAAATATGTGCATATTTTTCATAGTAGGGTTTACACTGCTCCTAAAATAATATAATTTTCTGCATCAGTAGCACACATATCTTGTGTGCACATATCTTTTGTGTGCTAACACACACAAAAATAAAAATATTTTTTAGAAATTAAATGTGAGTAATTATTTTCCTGTTGTTCTCAGGCAACTATGAAACAGTTTTCCAACATTCAGCAAGTTTCTTTAAACAACATTAGCATTCAGAACAAGTAATGCTTTTCCTGTACTTGGCAGGTTGGCTTTTGAAGCTGAGCACGTGCATTTGACTTAGTCTGTATGGTATTTTTAAGTAAGTATTATATGTAGAAAATTGACTTCTATTTAGCTCTTTACACTGTTTAATATTCTCTGCCATTAGATTTTTTTTATTAATTTAAGGGTTTTGCATTCTTGCAGTCTGGAACTGATTGTGTTTACAACACAACAGGGGTTTCACTGTGGTTTGTATTTGTTCTTTTAATATCTGGCTATGAATTGTAACACAAAACCACCGTGGTTTGTACTTATAGCAGTGTTGTAAAACTGAATCTAATTACAGGATACTTTTCAGACTAGAAAAAGGGAGGAACAAAGATCAATAAAAATTAAATTTCCACTCTAAACTTATATACACTCCACAATTCTACAGGAATTTTCAAGCTTTTACAGTTAAAAGCCAGTCACTGCACTCAGAAACTGAGATTAGACACTATTAGGCTTCTAGCAGTAGTTTAAGAGGTAGAGTATCAGCTGAATGTCTTTTTTTTAATACTAATTTTACTTAAATGGGCCTTTCTGAGGCTTGGTTTCCTATGGATTTATATTTAAAAATAATATGCATGAGTAGTGTTTTTTCCAGCAGAAGACACTAAATATTTGATGGCCCCTCTATCATTCACCAATATCAAAAGCACATTCTGTTTACAGCTACCTGGATGCAGGGCTAAGCAGAGAGAGGCAAAGGCATTAATCAACAAGGCTGGGGATTACAGAGGCACTACTCTGGGATCACTATTGGGTCCTAGATGGGCAAGAAAAAGAAACTTCAGCTTTAAGTGACAAACTGCAGTTTATATCCTCTGCCAACTACAGCAGCTCTTCAGCAGCGTGTCAGTGTGTGACGTTGAGAGCTGGGCTTGTCAGAGGGCAAAATTAGATCCTGAGAAGCATTTCTGGCATTAGCTCTGGATACCATGCCAGTGCCTGTAAGAAACAGCAAGGCAGGGAGGAAGCACTTGAAAGAAGAGTGAGGAGGGAAGGGGAAAAAAAACCTCACAAAAGACCTCAATTCACATTTCCCTCAGAGTAAAATCCTACTTGCTGAGAAATGAATGGCACTGGCAAAGAGGCTGGCAGTCCTCTTGTCAATTTTTTTCATTTATTATTTCCATCCCCCTCCATGGCCCCAGACACAGAGCTATCTGCCAAAATTTTATCCACATATCTATCCAAACCCAGGCCTCTGTTCTTTATCACCTGTTTTGTAACACGACATGTCAATACCTTACTAAATTACGCTTCATTTATTTATCAGTTGGTTCAAAGACCAGGCACCTATTTCTGTTTCTCCCCCTGGCAGAAACTCCACTCTTTTGATTCTTACTGCTCCAGTGTTTTATACTGTTCTGCCAGCTCTTCAAACTAAACTCAGCTGACTGAGTCAGCAAAAGTCCACCTCTGTGGAGCTGCACCACGACTGTCAGTTGATCCGATCTTTTAGAATTTTATCGGACATTTGGGCAGATACGTAGTCAGAGGGAAACTGGGCACTAAAAGTTTCCAAGAGCTTGGGAAGATTGGACTGACCAATACACCAGGGATATTATATAGTCACTCTTGGGACTAAAAAGTAAGCAGAAGTCTTAAAACATTTATTCCATGGGTGTTGAGCAATGAAAAGTACCAAAAATCAACAAGTCCCTAATCTTTCTGTCTGCCTTAGCAGGCAGGTGGTGCTCAGACTGAGGAAAAGCTTATTTCAACAGTGAGCTTGCACTGATCACATCAGCTAAGATAAGCATTATTTCTTATGCCTCCTGGGCTCTGTCAGAACACCTCTGCTACAGACTCAAACCCCTTGCTCTGGTTCTGAGCCAACACTCTCAGGTAACACACACACACCTGACCCACAGCTGCACAGCCCCTCTCACTTTACCAACAAGGACACCTCAAACCAACTCTGAGCTTGTGCTGGCACTTCCAAGAACTTGCAGCCCGGTGGGAAAAGCCAGGAGAGTGAGGGAGAGGGAAAACATCCTGCTCTTGACTGCAGTGCCTTACAATAGCAAAATGCAGAGCAGGTGAGAAGCACAGAGGGGAATAACTAACATTATTTAAGATGTCACTTCATAATATGGAAGTTAACAGTATCTCACACAAAACATTTTTCAGCGAGAGTCAGACAGGCTTTTTTTAGACCTGTGGTAAAACAGGTGATCCAGGAAATGGCATAACTCCTAGATTACCAACACTACTGACACGAATTTTTAAAAGCAATACAAGCCACCACATATATCCCGCGGAGAAGTAAGATAAATTTACAGCAAAAACATGACAAGGTAAGGAGATAGAAAATGGGGTTTGCCAGCCAACTACTGTAAGTGCTGTTTGGGTGCACGGTGAAATGAGTTTGGGCTCTCTGGAAGTACCTGGGCATCCCACAGCTCCAACACCACGTCAACTCTGTCACCAGCTCCTCTCCCATGGCAACTACCTCGATACAACCTCCTCAGTGAGGGCATCAGTAGCGCACACAAACTTTCCATTAAAGTGACAGTAAACTCTTCATTTCCACCAGCTCTCACATATATCTCAATTCTACACTCTATAAAATAATGAAATATGTAAACATATTTGTACACTGCAGATAATTTCTGCTACAAATATCCAGTCATGGTGTGTACCTTGGGGGGAAGTGGATTTTATGCGTGTGTTCCCCTCCTCCCCCTGAAAATATTAGTATAGCAGGTTTCAAGGAGAAAAATCTGCTTCTGAATGTTTTCATTCTTTCAGGTGTAATTTCTAGATTAAGGTAATAAAAAGACAAATACAGACGCAATATAAATGCTAAATACATCTGCACGGGCTGTGTTTTATGCCTGAAGATAGTACCACATACAATATTTACAGATGGAAACAGTGTGTGCTTTGACAACAAAGCTTTTCCCAAAAAATAATTTTAACATAAAGGCAACCCAAACTCCAGAAGGCATGAGCATCTTGAAAATCAGATAATACTTCAGAGCCATGCTTTACCAGCTTTACCACTTGCTCCCAATCTGCTGGTGGGATCTGGGATAATGATAGAACTTGACCTTTTCCCTCTGAATCAGTGGACTTCTCAGACACCACTACAATCTGAAAATATCCTACTTTCAGAGGTAAACTTGAGGCTGAAAGGGAAACTGGGAAAAAATAAGGTCACAACATGCTGTGGACTGATCTTTCAGGAAATGGGACACTCATCTGAATTCTGGATGTTTGAGATGAGTAATGTAGGCCTTCAAAAGGTGCCATTTGCTATCACAGATGCTGCTGTACAGCTCACAAAGGCCACCTCTAGCCCCACAATCTCCCCTATTACAAATCCCCAGTCCCCTCACCAGACACAGAGGGCCTGAATCTGACCATTTCCATTCAAAGCCCTGCTTTCATGAACACAAACACACCCATCATTTCTCAAATGTGAGGAAGAATCACTCCTTCTCAAGCCATTGCATTTGT